TGGGGTACTTTTCGGCATTGAAAACTGAGGCGACATTTTCCACCGAAACGTCGGTTCACTTTCAAAGGATGATATGGCGTTATATATCAGAAGATATAACTCTTCACAACTACATATATTTCCCGTTTATTGGGCGATAGTATCATATATGTGTTAGGATTACAAATCAGAGGCCCGATAAGACGTCCAGAGAGAGTGTGAATGTTTGTTAGTTTCAGCTGTTTCTCAGAATAAGAGACGATAATTTCCTGAACAACATAACAGAATTAACTTCATAGTAGATACGTAGTGTGTTTTCTGTGAGGTAAGAACCAGAACGTTACACAGCATGCTACAGCATCTTCCGTAAAATGATGATTTTTCCTCAGATGGTCAAAAGATGACCTGCTTTTAAGGATGGATGCCATATCCATATTCTTCTGAAACGCGCTGGACAAAGTACTTTTCATTTCCGAAGCGTAAAAGTTTACAGAGATGTCCGCCTGTCTGTCTGAACAAAGATGTCAGTGGCTCTCCCCCTCCTTACTTCCTCACAGACATGTTTATTCGGACAGACAATCATTTTCTTAGATTCTTCTTCAGCACGGGCGTCTGCATTAATGTGATCCTGTAGTGTAGCTTATATTTGACTCGCTTTGATCTTTATTCGGTTGGCTGACACAGGTTTAGATAAGTGTTCGGCGAATTTAGCTCAAACAAAACGCCAAGCTGAAAAATAGATGTATGGTTCTTGTGTTATGAAGTCTGTACTTTGGGAACTTATATATACGAAATTATGATCTACACACATAACAAAGGACAGCAGATTGTGGAGGTCACTGTGGCCCCTAATATCACGTGAAACTCCCCGGTAATAGGCACATCAATCAATTATGAACATCGACCCGTTCTCTGAAGCAGAGCGGTCCCTGGATTCGACGCCAAACCCACCTACATGCACCGACTGCCCCACATCTCTGCCCAGGGGCAAACCGTGTGGTTAACAGAGAGTCTCACTGCACATGGACTGACATATGCAGCTGATAGCATTGCCGTGGTAAAAGTTAATTATTCGAGCTCCTTCGTTGGACAAATTATAGGCCAAATATGAGATTTGAAGCCACAGAAATCAGCATATAAAATAGTTGTCACTTGCACCACTACGTAATACCAGAGTTTCATGCAATTTGAATGGGTTTTTCTTCGCTGTATTTGGGCCCAGGTAACAATATTAGTCCCACTTTATTACTGCGGTTTATTACGACTGATTTTATTTATACTTTCATTGTGGACAATGTTAAAATGTATGGTATATAAATGGATAAGGATATAAGAAATCATAAATCATTTCTGAATAGTTCAGTGCACTACATTTACACCAGTCCTGACGCCAGATTTTTATCCGTCGATGGACAGTGTAGGTACTTCATGATGATAATGAATTATACGAGTAACCATTAAGAACAGAAATGATTAATAGACTGGATTGTCAGTTCATTTATAATACAGAATGACTGGGCATTATGGGTCCACAGAGGAATAAATGTTTTATGTTGCAATAAACTAAATGCAGTAACAATGTTCCTAAACTCTATTATCCGTTGCATTAAGTTCTGGCCCTCTTTTTCTTTTTCCCTTAGCACTACAGCCCCAGTGGGCCTAGGCCTACCTCCATGAACTCCTCCGTTCACTTCGGTTTTTCTAGATCTTACACATTTGGCAGGGCTCCTTGGGCGGGTGATCAGCTCGTCGCAAGGCCTCTACTGTACACAAACACAGAAAAACGCACACACACAAACTAAGCATCCATGCCCTGAGTGGCATTCGAACCCACGATCCGGGTTTCCAAGCGAGCGAAGACAGTACATGCCTTAGACCGCTCGGCTACCGTGACCGGCTTCTTGCACTGTAGCCCTATTAATATTATTAGTTTATTGTTATTATTAATTTGTCAGATATAGCTCAAAAATATCGCACGGTCGCCATATTTACAGTTGTTGACTTGTAAACAACATACAACACACGGTGAATAGGTGTGTCTATTACCTTTTTCTACATCCAGTTTTGCGTGTAGTTCATTATTTATCAGCATAAATCCGAAGGCTGAAGGAAAGTTCATAGGTCGCTACGTTGTTACCTTAAATTAAGAAAATTACCTCAACAAAATTTGCATATTTTGAGAGCTATTAACATACATCGTTTCAGGATCAGGCATTAAGTGACCTTAAAGTAGCTACCATCTCAGAAGTTATGGTGTTCAGGTTCTTGTTACTTACAGTAAGAAATCAATAGAGTGTGATGTGGAGATAATCTTTAATGTTATTTTCTTTTTGCGCCACATTTCGTGAAAATCAATCAAGTGGTTCCAAAGTTGAAACGGAGTACTAAGCAGAGAGAGACACACCACACGCACGGAACGGTGATTGTGTCATCATGATCTACTTTAAGGTAGGCTTTTATTTGCCTGTTATCTCCCAAAGACTATCCTTCCATTGTCTACCCTGTCATCCAAAATTTTTTCATTCGTCCGGCTTCTAATTCTTAACTTTTTGTTTCAGCCTTAAAGAGTAGATTTTTAAGATGTGACCATACCAGGTGTTCATACTTGGATTCTTTCTACTAAAGCATGTATTTTTAATTCATTGCTTACAGACGTTTCTTTTCAGGTCTCTCGATTAAAATTTGTTTGCATTTTTAAATTCCTCATGCGTGCTACATGTACAACCCTTTTCACTCTATTTGATTGGATTATAGTAATAATGAAGAAAGCAGTTTTCTGGGATTTGGCACCGTGTATATGTGGCGGTGCCAAATCCCAGAAGACTGCTTTCTTTATAGTAATAATGTTTGCTGCAAAGCAGGTAAGTTACGATCATGTTTTCACGACATTTAAATCTTTTAGATCCAGTACAGAAAGCAGACACAAAGAATAAATTTCTAAACGAGATTTCGAAAGAATTTAATTGTGATATTTATTGCAGTATAAGCAAAATTGTCGAAATTATCATTTGCTGGTTTTATCGGATGAAGCGGGACAACCAGTGTAATTTTTTGTGCCTTGTTTCAGAACAACGCGAGTTTTTCACGTGAAGCTGTCGGAAATCCACGAGCTCAGTATTAGAGGCACAAAAACATCTACTATTCCTCCACAGAAAGCATGCGTGCCGCTAGTGGGCACCAGTAAGAAGCTTCAGTTTCCCCCATATCTCTACATTCTGTATAGAAAACAATTATACTGTATACTGCAGCCTAATCCTTTAAAATGCCTGTCACATTTCAAATTAAACAGGCGTTAATCAGAGAGCTCTCATATAATTTTGCGAACTGAAGCAACGAAAGAAATAAGTGGATTATGTGGCGGTTGAAGCAGATTATTACGGACTGAAATGTATAAATTTCAGTGGGACAGAGCGAAAGATGGGCAGGCTTACGTTACTCGTGATATTTCACATGCATCTCGAGAGAAAGATAACTACTTCTCTGTCTATATTTACCAAGGAAATTCATACAAAGCGACAAATTTAAATTAAACTCCTGTGTAACTTCTTGAACAAATCACCTGAGCTAGGAAACGCAAAACGCATTACTGATATTGAGGTATGCAATGTTCCTAAGGAATTCATGTATTCTGTGAAGTGAAATTTGGCATTGATCACATTGTCGCTACAGATTAAGAGGCTACAAAATTGATCCCATTCAAAACGAATTCTTCGTGGGGAGTGATAAAACAACATGAAACAGAACAATTTGTTTCTTTATCATGATGAATTAATTTAAAATTAAAAAAAATGATTATATTTAGTCAAGATAATCATACTCGGATATCATGAGATTTTAGTTGTATTCTTAGAGTTATCAAGGGAATTTAACCACACAATTCTAATGTGTTTCTGCATCAGTAATTAATATAATTATTTGTATAATACAGAAAAGAGCAGAAATAAGTAATATGTTGCTGAAATACGTAGAGTGGTAAATTAAGAACCAAAGGAACAAAATAAAAGGTATATGAAATGTAAGAGGAATTAATATGGAAAGAAGGAATTAAATGTCAGAAAAAGAGAAAGAAGAAACTAAACAACGAAAGGAATAAAGGGAAGCAATGAAAAGAAGTAGAGGAATGTGAAAAAGGAATTAAGAAGAGAGAGAGAGAGAGAAATGGAAAGAAACAAATCGTGAAGTAAATTGTATGGTTGGAAGGAAGAAATGAAGGGGAGGATGTGATAAGGAAATAACAGAACAGTTGACAAAGAGTAAAGATATAAATAAAGTACGAACAGAACAGCAAAATATGAAATTAAGAACGTAGAAATTAATTAATTATACAAAGAAGATATAAAGCAATATATTTAAGGTGGATGATCTGCAATGTCCAGAACTGTTTATATAACTAGAGATGCAAGTGGCGACAGGTAAGCACCACATACGAATAGTTAGTTAGTTATTGGAGAGGGTGGGTTTCCCCATGCGCTGAGATCTGTATTGGTCCACTGTGCTTCCCTCTATGATTTCTACCAGTCTCTATATCCTACCGGTATTGGTGCTTACCATCAGTCCCGCCCAGCCAGCGAGACCGGCTCTGCTAGCTGAGAGATATCTATAATGCTTCCCCCATCTACCAGAGGTATTAGTGACTGCTGTTGGGCGGGAAACGTCCGTAATTTGGCTCAGTGACCTCCTTTGGAGACATGAGGTTCTTTTACGTGCCGTAAAGCTACGACACGGGACCCACGGCTTAAAGTCCCTCCCGGAGGACTTGTTCCCTGAAATTTTCCGCCCTTAAAAATTCGACGACCTCCGCCGGCTATTTCAACCCGCGTACTACGAGTCATGAGGTGGGAACGTTACCTCTAGACTACGGAGACCGCTAAGCACCACATACAAGAATTTAGGCAGTTTACCGGGAGGAACTGACAGAACAGAACACAAAACAAAACATCTGGATGAAGGATTAAAGCGGGATGTGTTTTCACAGAACTGCTGAACAGAAATCAAACACAGTGTGCAATAATTTATCTGACCTGCCCTCAGCTTACAGTCCCTGCTGATTATGCTGCCCGCGGGGTTGGTAGCCCTGCAGCGGTACGTGGCGGAGTGTAGCTCTGGGTTGTATTCCTCGGCCGGGAACGGCGGGAGGTATAGGCTGCCGTTGGGAAGCAGTTCCCTGCAGCAGGGAGAACAGTACATCAGGCCCAGCCACCCGCACAGCACCAACTCACATGACACACATTATTTAGTATATATTCTTGCTCGTTTAACTACGTTTCTTCAACTCTATAGGTTATATACCGTACAATGTTAGTAAAAGATAAAAGTTGACCATGGGTTTAATTAATTCATCACCACACCATGAAGCCTTACGGGGGAGCGGAGGTATAGCTCCATCATTATAGAACTTGGCACTAGATAGAAGCAAGCAGTCAGTTCGAGTCCCTGCTGATTTAATTTCGGAGAAGCGACCCGGTACCGGTTGAACAGAAGGTTGGGTGTGGCCCAGAGCCGGTCTTTACGGTGTGGAGTACAGACAAAGCTTTCCCTTACCGGGAATCGAACCTCACTCGTCCAACCCGTAGTCCATCGCTTCACCGACTGAGCTATCCCGACTCCATATAATGTTAATATGATTATGAATAATTGGAGAGGGTGCAAAAGCAAAGGAGACCTACGGAAGGCACTATTCCAGCATCGGCTATTTATTACATAACCATATAAGGGATTATATATCATTTTCCATTCATTATATATCCCTTTACGAAAGTGCACGTGCACATCTCAAATATTCATCACTTGTCACCATCACAAGTGTAAATAATGAATTCGTGTGGCTGCCATGTTCTTGTTCCATACTCTAAGAAAAAGGCATCTTCACAGAAGTGGTATATTTTTCGTATGTACACATATATAATCACAAAAATTTGTAGCCCTGTATCAAGTGATGCTAGTTGTTAGTCCATTACATTGGCAAGACAATAAACGACACAAGGCACACGCGGCTACTAGTGTCGTGACGTACGAAATTTCGTGAAAATTCGCAAATAATTCGAAGCGTTTTCGGAAGAAAAGTGAACGTACTGATAAAATTAACATTATCTTCTCACATGGAATAAGAAAGTTGATCTCAGAACCGGATTAAGTAGTGTCTTTGTGCATTCATTGTGAAAACTCATGGTTATCCCGAAACTTTCATGAAGACGTTAAGTTACATTTGATGAAGCTTATGAAGGATTGACAGTGTTTTGGAAATCAATTTCACCATGTACACATGCACACAAATATATAGGAGCATTTATTCCGTTCATATTGGCAGTAAGCGAGCTCCGTTATATGAGGGCAGAAAGTGGCCGTTGGACCGAGTTTAATTCTCGGCACAGGCGTCGAAAATACTTCTCTTCGGCCGTCATTTCAAGAGAGAGTCTAGTCCACCCAGTTTCTCATTCAGCAGAATTTTCTGTAGTGCAAAGAGGTTAGGAATGTGAAGATGACACCACATTTTACTACACAGGTTATAATGTATAGTCTGAGGAGGAGTTCTAGGGAAGATTAAAATAATCACTGGATATTGGCAATGCGAGATGGAATGCGAAAGAAAGGAAATGGCTCTCATGAATATTGTTTCTTCTTTCGACAAACCGCAGGAGAGTTCAAGTACCTTAATAATTTATCTAAGTACAGAAATGATTAATCCCGTCTCAATTGACTCCTTCGATTGCTTAATGACGATTTATCATCTACATGGATTATACTCCGTCAAGTATTAAGAGCAGAGTGACTGCGAGTAAACGATTGGAAAGTCGTGGAATGCAATATCCGCGGTTTGGTTCGAAGTACTCTTCCTAAATTTGCCTGAAAAGAACGCCCTCAATAATAACACCGATCATCGGGTCGAGAATCAAACCCGAGACTTTAGAAATGCGAAGTATGTGTACTATATTCTGTGACCTCTGTCCATTTACGGAGCGTTAGGCGTATATCTCCGTGGTGTGATATTAATAAGAATAATGTGTTAGACGCTGCGATAGCTATTAACTCTGAACACGCTCTCATGTAATCCGGTGTGATTATCGCGTGACAGGGATGCCAACATTACTTAATGAACAATCTTCTCAAGGCGGCACGCATGTACTAGTCTGGCGCTCCGTGCGGTGAAGGCAACACACCGTGATTGTTAGTTATGTGAGTTGCCTGCCACAAGGGGAACGACTTTCGGAGAAAGTGATGGTCTTATGTCCTCCCGAAGTAATTTCCGTCCCAATCCTTCGACCTGGGGGTAGTTTTATTATGGAAGGCGGTGAGAGAACAGGATGCCACTATGAGACAATTGCTCTGATTGGATGTGCACCGCTATCGCTCAAAGTAAATGATTTGTGACATATGATTAATCGATGCAATGTGTGTCCGACAGCATTCGATTGAGAGGAATAGAATCTCTGGTTCTTAAGCAATTCAGTAATTTAAATTATCACTTCTTTGCAGAATGTGCATAAAAATATGCCATATAAGAGATATTCATTCCGTCTATCCGCCCTCATGTTCTAAATCAAGAACTGTTGGATAGATTTTGATGAAATCAGATATGAATATTATTCTGATACTGGAAGCCGTCACTTTTTAATTTCCTGCTGCTGGGAACAACATGGAGGGCTCACGATTTGTTTATATATAGCAGACACTAGCACAATTTTCCAAACGGCCTAACCATAGTAACTAATATGAACCAGTAAGTACAATAAGAATTACAGTACTAGTCGTGGTAACCAACGTTGTGCTTAATATTACGGTATACAGGGGATGTCTGCAAAACAATGAATTGACAATGAAATGAAACATAAAATAGAATCTGGATTAATTTATTGTGGTTGTATTTCACCACTACGATATAACCACAATAAATTAATCCTGGCAATGTTGTCTGTTTTATTTTCTGTTTTCAAGTCATTGATATGCAGACGGTTCATGCACACCTTGATTCTTGAACAACGGAACTCAAAGAATAAAGATAAAATTACTTATACTGTTAATTGGTGCTGGGTGCTTCAGTACATTTGCATTTAATACATATAGAAATTCAACAATCGCCACCATTTATTATTTATTTAAGGTTTACTTAAAGAAGCTGTCAATTCGGACTTCATAGTTATGAACAGTTAAATTATTTGTGGATGAATTGGAAAGGGTGTGGATTGGCCTGGTCCTGGCCTAAATTCGGTATTTATATGGAGGAACTGAGGAATACCACAAATCCATAGCTCAGGATAATCGTCTCGGTCTAGATTCGAACCGTGAACCTAGCGAATTTATGTTAGAGATGTTACTGCATGAGGCAACGTGCTCAATACAATCCTCACAATTGGATAAAATCTTAATAAATCATGATGATGACAATTTCTAGTAAATATTCCGGTTTGTACGTAACACAATGCACAATACAAAAATACTCAAAACAAAGGTCCCTGTTATGACACAAATTAGTAGGAAGAGAGCCCAGTTGCGCGCGAAGCAATCGAATGTATCTGCATGTTCTATCGGACAAACCCCTGCTGGAAGTTCTGTAGGTCTTTATAAGCTAATTTCAGTAAGCGACGAGGATGGGAGATTCAAAATGAATTATTCCAATGGGGAGAGCGTCATGTAGGAGTGAAAATACTGGAATCATTTGAAGAGTTGCATCTTCTGGGATATAACATCCTGTAGCCTGATGGAAGTCAACAGATATTTCGGAAGGATTTACAGCCTAATTCTTCAACGTCGAGCAGTACGTAATCTACTTGTTGTGTGCGTCATGCTGGATTCTCGTTTGGCTTACTTTCCGACCCTGAAGAAGGAGGAGAAATATTCCTCGAAAATGTCTATTAGCTTCCTCAGGAGTACACGGCGTCACATTCCAGAAGACAGAAATCTTCCGTCACCGGTGTGGGTGCCTCAGATCTAATGGTAATGTCAAGGCCGCGCCATAGCTCAAGCGGTTAGTCGCTGGCTTCCCACCGCGGCGGCCCGGGTTCGATCCCGGGTCTGGTCAAATGGGATTTGTGGTGGACAAAGTGGCGCTGGGGCAGGTTTTCTCCGTGTACTTCGGTTTCCCCTGCCATCTGGGGCGGGTACAATAGACCAGAAGTGGCCTGAGAACAAGGGACTTAGTCCCACCCCAGTAGCAATAACGAAAAAAGTAAGTAAGTACGGGACAAACATCCGACACGAAATGCCTCTGAATGATGCTGTACATAACACCGACGCAAACGCACTGGAACGGGTTACTGACATCATCAAGTTTAGACTTGCTTACGACTAAATATCAACCCACTGTTACGGCGTCTAATTGGAACACTGAGAATCTGTAGGCGGGGGGAGAAGGATTTGGGTGGATGAGATGGGGCGAGTATTTGCAGACATCAGTATATATGCTACTCTGAGACACAACTGTACCTTAAATCGGTTCGAATCTGTTTAAAGCGGGAGAATCTGTCTCTCATGCTAATGGCTTATCAATATGATGATAAATTATGTGCCACGTTATATAAAACTTGTCAAATCCCTCTTCGAAGGATTTCAGTTTCGGAACACGGCTCTGCTTCCCAGTTTTTAAAGGGAGCAAAGACCAACCACAAAATTTCGTGGCTCCTTCCTAATCACGCGAGTGGCCATGAAACATTCCGAATGGAAGAGAAGAAATTTTTGATAAAAACTAAAAGTGTATATAAAGTAAAAAGTCGCTATTTAAAAACAAAGTCTTTCTAGTGGCGATATGATACATATAAAAAACAGGAAAAAAATATCCGTAGTCTGTAGTCCGCAAGTGAACTATATCGACCAAGCGACCGCCGCTTGTCGGCGAAGTTAGTGCCAAATATTGCGGATAGAGTATGTCACGTGGTCAGTGCAACGAATCCCAAAGGCCGTTAATTTCGGCTTTCTAGACCGGAACCGTTGTTTCGTTGAAATAGCTCCTCAATTATCCTCACGAGGTTGAGTGGACCCACTACACCACCGAGGCGGTAACTAAAATTAAGAGACTGGAATAAATTAAGCCTTGGGCTAGCAGTGGTATGCGGGCTACGGTTTCTTAAACATGGCCTGCACTACAAGAAAGATTTGGTCCGTTATCGTAAAACATGTGGGAGGAAAGGTACACACAGTTTAACCATTCTTTGGGAAAGTTAAATTACGTTT